GCTCAATGTTGTACAATTTTATCTGAGATCCATACAGAGTAACTTTGACCAATCTCTCCACGAATGTGAGGACATGATTGAACCGTGCAGCAAACACATCCCTGATAAAGTACTCTGCCAGGTCGCCCACGGCCTGCAGTAGGGAGCTCAAGTCTCTCAGGGAGCAGTGCAGCCATCGGCAGTCTTTCTCCACAGTATTCTTCAACCTGTCTCCTGACCCTGAAGTAACTATAAATTACTGTAATCTCAAATAAACTTCAAATTATCCTGAAGAACTGGGAACGGTGTGGAGAAGGCGTGCATGGGCAGAAGCTCCATCACTTTGTCCACTACCTCCAAGCTCTGCTGTAAGCAGCGCTGTCACTCTGTCTGCTGATAGTCATCCAGAGTCTCGTCATCCAACTCCTCCAGCTGGACCTGGTTGTATCTGAACTGGATTTGATTCAACACCTCTGTAAGGAGGATCACCAGGGCGTTTTCATACCTGTTGAGAACTGCTTTCTTGTCTCCAAGACGACTTTTAATTTTATTTGTCAGATAGTCCAAAAAGAGCGTCCAGACATCCAAACAAGAGAATTCACCTTCATGAGTAGGCTGATGAAATGTGTACTTGAACAAAAGTGTCAAAAACCCCACCACAGGGAACTGGGAGTAAGACTCGATTCTTCTTAGGTGAACACTCACAAAGAGCTGAAGAAAGTCGTTAAACTTCTCGATACAGCTCTCATCGAGCTCTTCTAGCCTGCTCTTCACCGTGTGGGCATTGTTATCCTTGGTGATTTTCTGCAGGAGGTAGAAAGTCTGCTGAAACATACACAGTAAATACTCCTCGAACTCCAAAGGCACACAGTTCTTGGACATGAGTTCCTTGATGCAGGACGTGGCCAGGACCCTCAGCCGGCTCCACTCCTGAACCCAGACACAGTTCTCGCTGCTGCCGTTAACTGACACCATGTTTCTGGCTCGGATGTCGTAGCTAAATCGCACAAAGTGGAAGATGATGGTAAGGAGGGATGGGGTGATGCTGGCAGACAGAGGAATCCAACTGAAGAGATGGGCCAGGCACTCCAAGGCCAGGGAACAGATATACTCACTCACCACATCAAGGATGGGAATTGGCTGATTCCACAGTTCGGCTGAACTAGGAGTCTGCAACAGGTTACTCAGCAAGTCTCCTGAGGTTGGGGATGGTGGTGGAGTGGCAGCAGTAACACTGTTTGTCCCAGACAGTCTCCAAGATACCTGTCAGTAGCCCAAGCACTGTCTGCACCTGGTCCAGTAGCCACCTCCACAACTCCTCCTTCCCAGCCACAATGAGGTCCTCACGGGGACAAGCCAGCTCTTCTGGAGTTGTCTTCAACATGATCGGCCCAAGGGGGTTGTCACAGGGGACTGGTTCAACTGCAAAATGTTAGTAAAAATGTCATGGTAGAGCATGGGCCAATCCTGACATCCAATATCAACAATAACTTTGCAGAGCTTGTTCATGATAAAAGAAGGTAACGTTTTATGGGGAGCCACAAGGAGTTTGGGCAGGCGGCTATGGATTTCCATCTCATCCTGAGATGGGACCCCAAGCCACATTTTATTGATCAGATTCTCAAAAACTGTTAAACTGTACATCATTACATAGTCATACCTAGTGCTGGAGAGAAAGTACTGGCAGAATTTCCAGGCTCCTATTTGTTAGGCAAAGTTATTAAGAAGTTCCTCTATCTCATGTTTTCTTTCATCGGTTGTACAGTTGTGAAAAACTCCTGTCAGCAGACTTCCAATGCCCTGAGAGAGGCTTCTTCAGGTGCCATGCTGGCCGGGGAGGGGGCGGCTCAGATGAGCTGGTTCTTGGGCTTTGGACACGTCCCACTCACACAGTTCAGGTCATGGTCCCGGCAGACTAGGGAAGTCCCCCACCCATGCAAAGACAACCCCTTCCCCACTGGGCCCCGAGGGGATCCTCTAAAAAAGGCAGGGCCGCCCGGGTCGCCTCGTGGGGGCCCCCGAGACAATTCATCCAGACCCACCCGCCCCTTCCCAAGGAAACTGAAAAAGTAGGAAATGGGGCTCGCATGCCGGCAAGGAGGGCAGCGGCTCGGGATCCCCGCCCGGGCCCGACGCCCACGGGGGAAGCTGCGGCCCAGGCAGGGGCTGCCCGGGCCTCCGCGGGCAGAGGTGGCAGCGGACTCGGCCCCGAGGCTGAAGGGGCGGAGGCTGATGGAGCCTTGGCTGCGCTGCCGGGGCAGCCGGCTCAGAGGAGAAGCCCGGGGGCCCGCGCTGTCCTAGCCTCCTCAGCCCACACGGTGGCTGCAGCCGCCCCGCAGAGCATCCCTGTGCACGCCCGCCCTGGAGCCGCTCGCTAGTACTGCGCGGCAGCCCCCGACCACGGCATCTTTTAAATCTGCTACTGTAAACCACTGACGGCTGTATGGGATCCTACTGATAATAGTATTAGGATTGGGAACAACAGGGTGTGTAGTTTGGACTATCTGGTTAATAGCTCTAAGGTCTTGCACTAACCGGTATGACCCATCTGCCTTCTTTACAGGCAGTATTGGAGTGTAATAGGGAGACATACAAGGTTCAAGAAGCTCATCATGGAGAAGACCTTCAATTAGAGGTTTTAAATTTGCCCCGGCTTTTAAAGGAATAGGGTATCGCTTTCTCTTTACTACTTTCCCAGGGGTTTTTAATTTAACATGAATCGGAGGAATCTGTAACTTTCAATTTCCGCCTTTTGACCATACCTCGGGATGAATGTGTTCTTTGTCTGTGGTGGTGAGCAAGTTTAGGGAGGGGAGGAATTTTCCATGATTGATTTGGAGGCCTACGCCTAATTTTAGCGTTACATCTCTTCCTAATAGATTTGTCCCTGTTTCCAGAATTAACAAAAATTTGATACTAGCTTATTGTTTTTTATATGTCACTTCTGTCTCCTCTAAGATTTTTTTTTTTTCTCTCTACCTTTGAGTCTCCTGGCTTTACTCTTTTGTACCCTTTATATTGCCTGGAGAGTGGGGGTCTAGGTTCTTTATAGGTTCTGGCCCCTTGAGTACTTTGTTGTATGGCGGACAGCAGAGTTTCCACCTTCTGCTTTTGTTTTTCTTCATCTCTTCTTACATATACTTTTTGGGCTTCTCTCAGAAGCTCTTCTATAGGTCTATCTTTCCAGTTCTCTATGTTTTGTAATTTCTTGTTAATATCTGGCCAACTCTTAGTGACAAAATGAAGTTCTAAACATTCCCTGCCCAAGAGGGTCTTCTGATTCTAGGCCAGCATATTTTCTCATTTGGTCTTTAAGCCTTTCTAAAAATTCTATTGGTCCCTCATCTTTTCCCTGTTTTCTATTAAAGGTCTTGGTAAGATTTTGGGTGCAGGGCACCAGTTCTCGAATTCCTTTTATTACCATCTCCCTAAGGTCTTTCATGTTTCCTCGATGGGCCGTATTGTTGTTATCCCATTAAGGATCCTAGGCTGGGAATTTTGTTCAGCCGCTGGGACATTCTGACCAGGAGGGTGTTCATGTTCCCAAACGGTCATAGCAGCCCTGCATATCATGCTCCTTTTTTCTCCTGAGAATAAGATGCCTAAGATAGACATTAACTCAGCCCAAGTATATAACTGGGGTCCTAAAACTGATCAATTTGATCTGCCACTCCATAAGGATCATCTAAGAGTGGTTTAAGCTCCTTTTTTAGGTTAAGGGAAGAGTCTGGGGTGGCAGCTCGTTGAGGGAGAGGAAGGTACTTTAGTCCAAATAAAACAGCAGTATTTTATCATTTGCTGCTTTTTCTTGTGTTAGGTCCTTCCATTACCCTTCCACTATTCTAACATTAGGCCTAGGGGACTATCACAGGGCATATTATCATGATGATGATCTTTCCTATCTTTTGTCTTACCTGCTATATTTACCATCCTGGAGAAAGTGTTTTTCGCTGAGTCTGCAGGGCTCAGTCTCTCTTACTAGAGATTTCTTGCACCCCAGCGAGTCTGCGGGGCTCAATCTCTCCTACTAGAGCAGGTCGGTATAAACTCCATGATGGGCAAGCCGCCTTTAAGCTGTATGAGGTGAACGCAGAACCAGATCTGGACTCTGCACTCGCTCTACACTCAGTTGTGTGTCTCAGTCACACACTTTCAACCTTCAGGATGTCCTGACCACCAAGGAAATACTTCACTGCCCCCACAGCTTTTCTTATCTTGGTCTGTGCACAGAGTTACCTGGTTGCCGTGGTATTTATTTGTAGGCCTTTTCTTCCTGCTTTGCTGAGAGTCCGGATTTATTCGTCACACAGGGTAGGTCTCGATTCCTTACCCTGAGGCCGCAGCAATGAGGAAACAGGATGCATCTCCTCACAAGAGGTGATCAGAGACTTTTCCCCAGAGAAGCAGAGAAGAATGGGATCCTGGGAAGGCCCCCAAATTTGTTGGAAGTAAATGCTCGGTGCCGCAGGGTGAAAATAGCACTCAGGCAAAAGTTTTCACAGCAAGCCAATTTACTTCTATAGAAGGGTGCATCTCACGGATGGAGCAAAGGTGAGAGCACACCGGACAAGGGAGGGGAAGAGGGTCTTACTCCTAACGCAGCTAGTCCCTACTGCTGTGTCTTTCCCCTGTTGGCTAGGGTTGGACCACACAGTCCAAGCTAATTCCAATTGGCTATTTTAAAGAGAGGGTACCAGCCGGAGTGGTGGGGTGAGTAGTTCTGGAGGGAAGGACAGTTACAGAACAGGTGACTAAGGATACCTAAGGACAGAACAGGTGATAGAGGCTAGGAAGGGGTTGGTTACTGAAACTAGGGGCAAGGAGGTGTAAAGAACAAGGAAGTTAAGCTTGTTCTTTAAAATGGAGAACAAAGAACAGGGAAGCTGAACATACTGACACATTGGTTCTTTGAAGAGGAACTCAGAGCTCATTGTACTTAACAATTGTTCTCCTTCTTGAATTTTAAAGGAAGACGTTAACAGGCTAAACTTGGTTTTTTTTTTTTTTTTTTTTGAGACAGAGTCTTGCTGTGTCCCCCAGGCTGGAGTACAGTAGCGCCATCTTGGCTCACTGCAAGCTTCGCCTCCCGGATTCACGCCATTCTCCTGCCTCAGCCTCCTGCATAGCTGGGACTACAGGCGCCCACTACCGCGCCTGGCTAATTTTTTGTATTTTTAGTAGAGACAGGGTTTCACCGTGGTCTCGATCTCCTGACCTTGTGATCCACCTGCCTCAGCCTCCCAAAGTGCTGGGATTACAGGCATGAGCCACCGCGCCCGGCCAACAGGCTAAACTTTGAAGAGGAATTTACTGTCTCCTACAAAACTCAGGTTTAGCTGCTCACCTCTTGAAAGCAAAACTCAAGAGACAAGGGCTGGTGGAAGGAAAAGCAGGTTTACTCAAGAGATGGCAACCTGAGGAGATGGTGGACTAGTGCCTCAAAGACTATGTCAAATTTTTAAGGTAGCCAAAGGGATTTTAAAGGAAAAGGAGGCATGGAAACTATGAGCAGGAGTGGTGCAGGACGCAGGACTGCGTGTCTCATTCTGATGACTATCTTCAGTAATGAACCACCTGGAGGTCTGGCTGGCATCACCATGAATGCAACCAGGTTATGGATTAACTACTCAGTGGTTTTTCTGAGGAGGGAGGATTCTACAATCTCAATTTAATACTTGGTTTATTTCAAGATTGCCCCCTGGATCTCTTAAGCAAGTATATGGTTAAATATTGAACAAAGCAAAGGGTGAGGCTATTCATCTTTGAAGCAGGCTATTTCAGCTTAAGTAGGAGTGTCTTGTTTTTCATAATGAGCCCCTTTGGATCATGCCTGAGATTATGCTAATGAGGTAACTTAAGGTGGGGCCCCTACATGACCTCAGGATAGGGCTGGCACCAGAAAGACCAGGGATTAGAAGGTTAAAACTTTCAACCAACCCACTGACATTCAGAAAGGGGGCAGGGACTGGAGATCAAGCTCCATAAAAACTCTCGGACATACAATCTGAGGAGTTTCCAGATTGCTGAATACATGGAGGTATTCAGCAATGGGATGAATGGCATGCCCAGAGGCCATAGAAGCTCCACACCTTTCCCCTCCCATACCTAGCCGTATGCACCTCTTCCATCTGGCTGTTCGTGAGTTGTGCTTATGATAATAAACTGATAAATATAAATAAAGTGATTT